GGCTGTCTCCTAGCTGCTCCAGAGGATTCCGTTGAAGTTGTCCGGTTTCGGCCTCCGGCAGTTATAAAAACAGCAGGTTCCACTTTCCGCATTATGAGAGAGTTTTAGTAAGTCATATTTGCAGCACAGTTCCGAAATCATGAATGGAGCAGGTGGTACGTTCCGTGAAAACGTGTGTGAAATTTCATGTATTTCGGCAAGTCGTAAACCTGGTACAACCGTGTAAACGCTGATGATGATTGTCTTTGACCGAAAGCTCCACCTTCTAGTAAACATATGAATCATTCTGCTGCATTCAAATCTGTGGCTCGTGCTTCCGGCGTACGACTGTTTTAAACAAGGCTGCCTACGTAACATTTACAGAGCAGAATTTCAAGACATGCGAAGCTAGAAAGACTAAGAAGTGTCTGAACAAGGGCAGAGGTAGGTAGCGTGTCTCCATCACGTTGATCTTGGACGATCGTTGGCGCTGTGCCGTCGAACCAAAATATTTCGCCTTCTCGCGGTCGCCGCGGCAACTATACAGCCCGGAGATCGCAAAAATTTATTAGCATGCGTAGTTTACAGCTTTCACGATCCCTTGCCATCCTGAGCAATCCTCAAAATCATTTGGTCCAATCTCACAAAAAAAGCAGAGTGACATGTTGGCATCATGGGGATTTTAAAGCGAATGCCAATTTTTGTACATTTTGCTACCATAAAAATTATTTAAAAATAGCCTTATCAATATTTGGATATGTTTTAGGTAGTTAGAACTCCACCTCAGTTACTTTACAAACTATACAATTTTAATGGGTTAAAAAAACTTTTAAGGTTTCTACTCAGTTATTTAATTGTTTTTGTAACTCGTATATGTCTGGCTGCACCACATGAATTATAGGACCACTAAACGGCGACGTATAATTGACGTAGTGTATGGAAGCGTGCAATATCTCGCCGCTGCGCGATGCAATTTTACTTTCAAAAGTAGATCGACCGCGGTCGATTAAAGAAGCTACATAACCTATGTGACACATGCTCTAGGTAAGGCTATTTGGTCTTTATTTGTTGGTCTTGAAAGCAGCATCAAATTATCGTAAGGCACATGCCTTGTCCGGCCCTTGGAAACAAGTGGCTGCCCTGCACTGAAATGAGCGGCAATGGGGAGGCTCCTGAAACCAAATTGCAATCTGTCACTCATTCGTGGTCTCATGGTACGTGTCTAGCGCGTTGCCAACAGCGGTTGGCGGTGCTTGTAAAAAACGTCATGCGTAGATTTCATCCAGTGACTTTACCTCATTGTACTGGATTGGCTTCGCTATTGCTTATATCGTCCAGTTGACATCTCGGTCATTGTGTTTGTTAAGCACATGCGCTTTGGCATATCTTGGCGTGAGTGCTCAAGCCATTCTTCATTTCATCATAAAGCTGTGTCTGAGCGAGATAGATAATGAAACGGCGCCATCTTATCCTATCCAGTGTTCCATGTTCGCCACGTGACTTCACGCTTTGCGCGTCGCTTCGCCCAAGGACCTATGACATCTACGGGGGAAAAATATCCCCCGCCGGCTCCTAGCCTCCCTTGTGCTACATTCTATGGCAAAACGGAATATAGTCGCCAGGTATGATTGAATATTTTACTCGGTCAAGTTGATACCTCCACTTTATGACAAATGGAAATGGTATGCGAGAAAATAAGAGTGCGTATACATAAATACTTAATTATGCAACTACATAGCCGTGTTTCATACGTTTCTAGCATGGCTATCATTTTATTTTCTGCAAGCAATAATATAACTCTCTCAAGAATATAATGCGACTAAATGGAAAGGTGCAAGCGAGCTGGACAAAAATGACGATAATAGTCCCCAGAGAAGGCGAACAAGGTGGACAGAAAACAAACACAAATCTCTCAACACAGCTAGGTGACTGGTGAGCGACCGAAAACATCTGCCTGATCCGGGTATCAAACCTGGGACCTCTCCATTTCAAGTGGAGTGCTCTACCAACAGAGCTAACCAGGGGTTAGACATCAGCAGAACAGACAGGTTTTATCAGCCGCCACCAGTCTAACACCAACAACGCTGAAAGGCCTGCATTTTAAGGTTATAATTATAATGCGATTAAATGCAAAGGTGCGTTTAATTCCATTTAATTGCGGTCGCGCACCAGTCACCTAGCTATGTTTGGAGATTTGTGTTTGTCCTTGATCCCCCTTGCTCCCCTCTCCAGGGATTATTATCGTCACTCTTAATTTTTTTGATCTAGAACATTCTTTCGATGTAAATGAAATAAAAAAACTCGGATATACACATATTGAGTGTGACTACTAGGCACTGTCATAGCTTCATATCAGAGAATCCTTAGGCAGCAATGGTTATCTTAAGTTGTTCAGAGCTAACCCAACACCAAACTTCAGTCTTAAGAACTATCCAAACTTCAGACTTCCAAACTAGCTGACACGCCAAAAAAATGCAAAGTGTCCGCCAGTGCCCCGTGACGTAACAATGTACCGAAAGGTGTCTGGGCGGTCAGAAGGGAGGCATCAACCTACGTCACTAAAAGTGGGTTCGCCGGAAGTCGCGTGAGTTTCACTCCTCGTGCTCTCCACGAACGTGTCTAAGACATTTCTTTTTATTATTGTCGTTTTTTATGAGCGATCGTAGAAAATGAAGCTTCGGTTCCAATAGCTTTTTATCGCTGCGCCGTTGGTTAGTTTGCGTGCTGTAAAACTTGAGAACGAATACTCAGTGGATCGACGTGATGGAGGTCAATAATGAAAGCGTTGCGTGTACAAGCCAGTATACCAGTGCATGCCATCAGTCCGATTATACACAGCCATATTGGGCACAAAACAAGCTATCGAGTTTTGAAAAATAAATTTTAGAACGCTCGCAGAAATTAGGATTGCTAGCGTACGACACGCCCGATCGCATTGCTAAAGGTTCATACATCCAGGTCGCCGAATCATTGGATACTCTCCAGGCTGAAGATGGCTGCCGTCTAGGGAATACAAACTGTTGAGTGTACCAAGTACAAGTAAATATCGAGCATAAAGTACGTGTTTTGTCTAGAACACGAGTAGAACTTGCTAACTAAGTTCCCTGACGCCTCTTTTTCTACCTTTGCAGCAACATTAGACGATGAAAAGCAAATATATGAAACCTTGTCTGCTTAGATTGCCTGCAGAAATGCGGAGAATAACAAAAAACGAAAAAAAAATATTACACGTGGTCGCGGTAAGCACGAGGAGTGATACAAATCACGTGACTTCCGGCTATGCCTTCCTTCTGACTGCAATGACACGTTGCGGTACATTATTACGTCGCAGGGCACTGGTGGGGACTTTGAATTGGGCTTTGTATTTCTATTTTTTTATTTAAAAAAGACTACGCAACTCTAAAGTGAACAAAAAGAAAAATCGGTGATGTCCTGATACACTATTTTAACGACTAGCATGAAAAAAAACTTTTTTTTTCTGGCGTGTGAGAGGCTTTTTAAGACAAAAGCCTTCAGGAGTAGGCCATCACTTTTCTTAATGTAGTAATTGCGTAGTTGTGTTAGAGAACACTAAGGTCCTCAACAACAACAAAAAAAAATATTGTTACCGACGTCTAGTGTTCTAAGCATTGATGATAGATAAGCATACAGATTGCTTTAGCAATATATCCGCTTAACTGAGAAACCAGTGTATAACGTTCCTATACCAGTCATTATTCTTAAGTGTTGTGGTTTTTGTAGCGTGAGCTACACTGGCCGAGGTTGAGCAGTTTCGCGTGGCTCGAATAATGAGCCGTGCTCCGTGCTGCGCAAGCGCGAGGAGCAGTGACGTCACATGGCGCACAGCTGGCGGGGCGGAGCCGCCGTCGTCGCGGGCTTCGCCGCCACCGCGCGCGCCTCGCCGGTCTTCGCATTCCAGAGGAGTAACGTCATAGCCGCTGCAGACGCACTGGCGCCGCCGCGTACTCAGCTGTGTGCCTCCGTTGCGCAGTAGCCAACTCTGGCGCTGCACCGGAGCTGCTTGATAGCGCCTCTCATTTTTTACTCATAAGCTCACGCTACGTATACCCTAGCATTTCCGAGCTAAGCCACCGCAATTTTTTTTTTTTTAGGTCATCTATGGAGTACTCAAGAAAATATTATTTTCTTTGTATTTTGCGTCCATATCCCCTAGACGTTTCTACTCTCTGTTGTGAGATTTATCCCCTGCCCGGGTTTCGAGGTATGAACTTGTTTCACTTTCTTCGAGCGTCGCACCCTCGTCCAAGTTCGCAGGTTGTTTCGCTATCTTCAAGTGTCTCCGGGTCGTCGTGTTTCTTTTTGGTCTTTCGGATTTCCTTCTTTCCGGATCATCGTGAAGCGTAGAATAAACGTTAGCTGTGTGTAGGGATTTCTGCTTGTGCTTTCCTTCTTGTCCCCCAGTCCAGGGTGAAAATAATGTATGTGTGGATATACTCATTTTTGTTTCTAAAGCGCAGCTCTTAGGCGCCCGTTTCCGGCTTGAGCAGCGTCGGCGTTGCCGTCGGCGTAACGGTGAGGTCACGTGACCCCCCCAAGGTCACCCCAAGGTCAAGTGACCCACCAAGGTCACCCCACGGTCACGTGACACCCAAGGTCACGTGACTCCGCAAGTCACGTGACCCCCCTCCCCGAGGTCAGGTGACCCCCCGGAGCATATTAAAGAATGAGGGGAGAAGGAGGAGGAGAAGGAGGAGGAGGGGTCAACCCTCCCCTCAGTACACTTCCCTCCTCCTCCTCAAGAGCTGCGCTCCAATTCGGCGTTACAGGGAGTTGTAAACGGCTTTCACTTTTTTCACTCACCCACTACTGTAAATCTCCATTAAAAGCTGACAATATCAGTAAAAAATAAAGAAATAATCGTCTATAAAGTAGAAAATATATCAAGGGTGGTAAATAAATCTACCATTAGATCTGACAAAACTATTAGGATCTTTCAAACAATTTGTGTTAAAATTCTGAAAAGAGAAGAGATGAGCTGCCTCTCATATCAACAGGATTACCTGATACTTCGGGTGTGTTTGCAGAACTAGGAGCCCAATGGTCCTGGCAATGTAGGATAACACATCGTAGTAAAAGCTTGGTGGCTGCGTGAACTCTTCCATGGCTTCTATCACGCGATCTCTCGGAATTATATAAGCCTGTAATGAGAGCAATCACTATAAGTGAACAACCTGAAAACCGGACCTATATTCCAGAACTGTTTCCGGAAATTTCATCGAACGCCGTTTCATCGAACGCCGTTTCATCGATACCGTTTCATCGAACGCAGTTTTAGCGAGCGTCGTTTCATGGAACGCCAATCTATGGAAGCCGTTTCTTCAAACGCCGCCTACTTGAGCAGTAGGACTATTTTTTTAGCGCGGAAATGATAGCAATGTTTTAATATGTATTATAACTTACAAACGTACACATATATAAAAGAAAGAAACCTTTTTTGTCGACTTCTGTTTTTTTTTTTAGTAGATGATGACCTCTGGTAATGGGGTCAATAAGAAGCGGGAACACTGACGAAACTTTTTAACTCTCTGATGAGCAGGTGCAGTGATCAACGCAGGTCCGACAGAACCATGGAACTGCCTGCCAGATATACGACATACAATATATATACTGCATGTCGAAGATCCGACATGTCCATGGTTCTGTCGGTTACAATAAAGTGACAACGAGGGGAGACGCGACTTTTTTTAAGAACATATATGTTGTTAAAAAGAAATCTATTCTTCTTGGAAAAAACAAAAAAAAAAAGTTGTATCGACAAATGCAAACAAACAGGCGCTGCGGAAAATAGCTGTTTCCCTCTTGAGAAAGTGCCTTTCACGCGTGAATAAACAGAGGGTTCAAGTGGGACAAAAGTGCGTGGCCGAGAACAGCCGCCTACCACGCCAGAGAAAAATAAGTCGCGTACCCACCCAAGTTTTGATTTGATAGCTACCTTCTATGATTCAGTAGCCAACATTTAGGTGGGCAAACAATTGACAGGGTAGCAAATCTACACGGTCAATTCTACCGCGTCAAGACTACTTCAAAAGCGATAGTAAATTATGGAAAAAGTATTGTATTACTCCAAACTTCAGTAAAAAGAAATTCCATGAAACGGTGTCGAATGATTCGATAAAACGGCGTTCGGAGAATCGGCGTTCGACGAATCGGCGTTCAATGAAATGTCCGCTACTATTCCAGAGCCATTACTGATAAAACATAATACAGTATGAACCACGTCTGAAATCGCTTTGGATATAATTTTAGTACTCGAACAAAAAAAGACTTATGATCCTTCATTCAAAAGGGAATGCGCCACACCAAAACAGTGGAGCGGGAAACGTAATCGCTGTTTTCGCCCTCAGCTAAAATAAGCAACAGCACTTCATTAGAGTGAGTATAAATATTTATTGTAAATGAAACAAGTCTTCCGGCGCTCGAGGAGTAAATGTACCACTTCCACAAAAACGTCGCAACGTGCCGTATGAGGAGTGGCAGTTGGTCGGTTTGTCGTCCTTTGGTGACAAGGCGTTCGCGAGCTCGGCAGTTTCGCGACGTTCGCGAGATGTCACCACTTGAGAGCGGATACCTCTCGCGCTCTCATTACTTGACTTAACTTGACCAAAGTTTCGGCTCAACGCTCCCCCAAGAATCGTTGTCAAACACGTAGCTATGTCTTTTTTTTTACTAGGTTTAATTTGTAATTACAACTAACTATGGCTAAAGAATAACATAAATCTTAGACGGAAAGGATGACGCGGTCGAGTAGCGCTTTCAAGTTGAAGCAACTGAAGTAGCTGAAGTAGTTTAAGTTTGAAACGTAGCAATATTTGGTAGAAGTTACGTTCGAAGTAGTAGCACTGGTTGCGGTTCGAGCGCTGAAATCTTTTGAGCTTGATCGCTTGATAATCGAAGCGTGTCGGATTAGCTGACAAGTGACAATTTCGCAGTCTTTTCGCAGAGATTCGAAGCCTGCATGTAAGAAAAATGTCTCTCCGATTGCTCTTCTGGTTTTGGTTGTGTCAGGCTGATTTCAGATGCCAAGGGGAGCGCACGTACCGGCGGTTCTGCGTATCGGTGGCTTCGGCTGCCCTAGGTGCAAATCGGCAAGCAAACCTTCTTTAATTTGTGTCCACTGGCGCTATTCACACTCTATGTGGAAGTGAATTTTGAACACATCTTTTTTGTGCAATGCGGAAAGTTTTACGTGTTTTTTTGTCGCGGGGGGAGGCATTTAAGTGTAATTTCCATCGCCATGTGTGATCCGAGCATGAGCGAACGCAAGTACAGTGTTTCCGTGGTATTCTCAAAAAAGCACGTGAAGGCAGCTCGCAGCAACAGCGACTTTATTAAGGCTTGAGAATAATTCTGGTAATGTCACAACTGTGTGCTGCAGTACCAAGAAAACATCTGCTCAGCTATTAGCAAAAAACTTAAATATGTATTTTATATTTTAGAAAAAGAAATAATTTAATTTTCAGGGTTCTCTAATAAGTGTTACATTTTCCAATGTAAAAAAAAAAGCAGTTTTCTCCCCCAAAATTTTTGTCAATACTTTTTACACAACGATGTTTGGCCGTTCATTTTTGGCCGAGCTCTGCTCGAGTCGCACAAATGCGGTGACGTCACATCGAAGTAGCCGGAATCGCATTAAATACCGTCCGCTCTTACTATTCAATTCTATTCCTTTGATGGCACCAGAACCGATAAGGTGGAAGGGGTTACAGGGCGGCCACGCCCCGTCTCCCAAGCGGAAGCGCCGCGGTTGATCCCCGAAGTTAGGACGCACCCAGGTCGGCACGAGCCACTTGAAGTCACCGGTGACACATGGTTATATAAAAATATTAGTTGTGCCGCAGAACCATGTACATTAAAATTGTATTCAAACGTCACCCTCCTGTTATTTTGTACCAATCTCTAACAATATTCACCATCCCGTCAGTCTAAAAGGTGAACAGAATGCAGAAGGCGTCGGCACAGCGGGCAAAAAAGAGGCGGACGTACATTGACCTGCGTCTCGGCGATGACTCTGGTGATGGAGGGCTCGTCGGTGATGAGGCCGAGGTACCCCACGCAGGCCGGAGACGCTATGTAGTCCACGAAGTATCCCTCGTTGAAAAAGAACAGCGGCGACGTGGAGTTGGGTAACGCCCCGTCGCCAAGGTCCTCGTAATCGCCCTCAATCTGAAGAAGGAAGCATTCAACTTTGAAGACCATTCAACTCCCCCATAAATGGTGTTTTAAGTGCTTGTGTATGAGATTTCTCAGAAAACAAACATAGCGCGATATTTAAATCGTGAACCTCATTTGGACTTGGGGCCAATTATGAAGCATGCTTATATTTAGGATCTACGTCACGATATTTAAGTATTGTTGGGAATATCTTCTTTCTCGGAAAGTTTCTCGAGAAGTAAATGAAATAGGCGCACTTTATTCAGAAAGACTAGGGTCACAAGAACAAAGCGCAGATGATCAAACATTGATATTTTGTCATTTTCATACACAATGACCCACTCGTACAGACTCTTCTCTCTGATGCAGGCATCTCCAAGCTGTTTTAGCATTACTTTATGCTTTTCCCGAGGCGTAAGATCTAACGACCCCAAAAAGTCAATTACTGCTGGCAGCTTCTCCATAGTGCAGACATATCGCCGCCCGCTCGGCCGAGAAAGCAACGCTCGGTCCCGGACTTGTAGAAGATTGGTGTTTATTATGGTTCCGGTTGTAACTTTAGTCCTACTTTCTTGTTCTCAAAAGTGCCAGTTCATCCTCGCCCCTCACCCCGAGCGCGCGACGCTCGAACCTTCTTTGCCGAACTTTCGAGATAGTGAAGCACTATAGATAAGCAGTTGCCCGCGACCTTGTCAAGTCAGTTTCGCTCCCTCTCTCTGTAACGCCGCCGAATCGTGGCCTGCTTTTCTGCTGCCTTGACGCTTTCCTTACTTATTTTGTTTGGCACATGTTCGCCCATTAAACCTTTGTTTTCAGTTCACTGTTCGTCTTCTCGACACCTTCATTGTTAACATTTCTGGTAGAGGTGCGGCATACCGCAGCTCATGAAGCAAACCCCTCCGAAGTTTCGCAGCACAAGCCCAGTCCCCGGGTCCAGAAAACCTTCCGTGGAATCGACTGAGGCCCGAGAAAGCCGCTGTGTCCAAGGTTTGCCCCCGGAATTCGGTTCACTACCGAAGAAGACCCACCAGTCATCCAAGCCATCAATCAGCAGCCAATCATCGCAGACCCCTGCCACCGCCCCCGTCGCCTACCTGTCCATTGCCCCTCGATCGCCGATGCCCTTCTATGGCGAACTCTATGAAGACGACGAGGACTGGATTCTACACTACGAGCGCGTGGCACGCCACAACGGATGGAACGCTGAGCAACTCCTCCATAACCTCTACTTCTTGCTGGAAGGCACCGCTAGGCACTGGTTCGAGAACCACAAGGCTTCGCTCACTTCCTGGGACATCTACGCCACCGAGATGAAGTGAACCCTCTCGAGCCAACACCGGCGAAATAAGGTGGAGGACCTGGTCCAGACGCGGACTCAAGCACCCAGCGAAAGCGTGAACAGCTTCATTGAAGATCTGCTTCGATTGTGTACACGCGCCAACCCGCAAGCCACCGAGGAGTTGCGCTTCGTCATGAGGTGCGTCAAGAGCGAAATCTTCGGAGGTCTTGTCCGCAGCCCCCCCCCCCCCCCCCCCCCCCGACAAATGAAGGCCTCGTGGCCAGGTGACCAACATTAAAGTAGCACTGGAGCCCGAGGGCGCCACTACCACCGAATCGACGACGCCTCAATCCTCACACTGCCGCACGCCGAGCTGAGGGTACGTCATACGCAAAGAGCTCTGAAAGCTGCTCCCCACCGCCGAGCGCGCGGCGTCGCTGTCAGTCGCTGAGATTGCAAGCAAACGAGGTACAGCTCGCCTTCCAGCCTGAAACTCCCGTCGACGTGCCAGCCCCGAGGAATGGACGCTGTCCTACGCCGTAATGGCCTGATGACCGCCGCCAGCAACCCGCCAGTACCCGTTACCAGCGCCCCCACGGCGGGAAGCCCGTACGCCGCATTAGGCTCGGAGCACCGAAGAACAACGTCCGTACATTCCAGCCGTATCCTTAGCGTCAAAAAGGACGGACGTGTGGCGCACGCTGACCGACGTCCGCTGTGTTACCACTGCGGGGACACTAACCACGTGTACCGGCGATGCGCCTACCTGCAGCTTGGGCTTCGTGGTTTCGCACCGAACAACCCCTGCCCGAGAAGCGGAGAACGACCGGGGGTCATCGATGAATACCTCGAAGGTCGCAATCCCCGGGACCATCTCCCCGCCGCGGTTCCCGTTCATCGTCACCACGATGTCCGCCATCTCCACTTCTTAGGTCCCGCAGAGAGAGCCTGACTCCCTTACCGCGTCGGGGAAACTACGCACGTTAACCCCGGAGGTGGAGTTGCCTAAGACGACCGTCGGAAGCATCCTTCAAGAACGACGAAGGGCCCCACTCTAGCGACGACAAGTATCAGAACGACAATTCTGCAACGGTGCTTAACCACCTTAACGTTGTCATCGACGGCCGCGACGCGACGGTGCTAGTGAACACCTGTGCATATTACTCCGTTTAGAGTGGCAAGCTCTCACGCCGCCTTCGAAAAGTCACAATGCCTTGGGACGGCCCTGAGATAGGCACCGCCGGAGGACACCTCATCACGCATGTTGGGACGGCACGGCTTGCGTGGAAATTCATGGGGAGACCTGTCCAGTCAAGTTCGTCGTCCTCCAGGACTGTGCGATAGACATCATTCGTGGCATGGGCTTTTTGTGTGAGTACGCCGCCATGATCGATCTTAAAGCAAGGATCCAAAACGGCGCCTGTCGAGATCCGAATCATTGCGGACCACGTGAACCTGACGCCGCTGTCGAGTGTTCTTCTGCCCGTCGTCACCGATGCAGTCGCCTGCGGGGAAATCCTTCTCGAAGGCAACGTCCACCTGCTTCTTGGAGGAGGAATAGGCATCGCAAGGGGCGTAAAGGACCTGTAGGATGGACGTAGTGTGGTCCTCGTGACGAAAGTTCGACCTGAGGCGCAGCACCTCACGAAAAGTGAAGCTGTGGGACACGTCAGGAACTCCGGGCCGACGCCAAAATCGCCGCGATCTCTGACGGGCCCTCGCCATGTCAGCCGTACGGTACACCACCGCCGCAGCTGGACGTTAACCTCAAGCTCAGTGCCACAGAACGACGACAGCTCGGAGACCTCGCCGAATTCAGCGACTGCTTTTCGACGACGTCGAAATTGCGCCAGACAACAGTTACGAAGCATCGCATCGTTGCCAACGATGATGCGCTCTCTCTGCATCAGCCGCCGCACCGGGTCTCCTCAAAGGAAAGAGGGGCCATTCATATATAAGTGCAAAAGATGCGCAACGACGTCATCATTCAGCCTTCGAGCAGTCCGTGGGCCCCTCCAGTAGTACTGGGGGAAAAGGGCGGAACTCTTTGATTCTGCGTTGACTACGGGCGACTCAACGCGGTCACGAAGAAAGAGTGTATCCGATACGCCGCATCCATGACACGCTGAAACGGCTCGCAACTCCCAATACTTTTCGTCGATGGACCTTAAAGTGACTACTGGCAGTTTGAAGTCGACAAACGGGATCGAGAAAACACTCCCTTCGTCCCGCCCGGAGAACTGTATGAGTTGAAGGTGAGGGGCTTTGGACTGTAGCCGGCGCCGGCAACGTTCCAACGCTTCATGGAAACCGTCCTGGCAGGTCTCAAATGGCAAAGCTATCTCATTCACCTCGATGAAGTTGTGGTATTCTTTGCCAACTTTGAAGAGCACTTGCGACGCCTTCGGGCCGCTCCTGAGACAATCAGGACCGCAGGACTTACCCTCAAGCCGAAGAGGTCCGGTTCGCCTACGGCGAACTGAAGTTGCTAGGCCACGGTGTCAGCAACCAAGGTGTACGTCCTGACCCTGAGCAGACTCGCGCCGTAGCGGTATTTCCACCGCCCAACGACACAAAGGCTGTGCGAAGAATCCTGGGACTGTGCGCGTATGACCGGCGATTCGTTCAAGACTTCGCCAAGCCTTGTGCGCCGCTCACGCACCCCACGAAAGACGCCGCGAAATTCGAATGGGGTGGAGAACCACAGGCACTCGACGAGCTCAAGTGACGACTCCAGTCACCGCCGATTATCGGCCACTTCGTTCAATCAGCCGAAACGGCAGTTCCCACAAACGCCAGCGATAGAGGACTCGGTACGGTAGTGTTCCAACGACAAGAGGGTACAGAGCGCATGATCCCATATGCTAGTCGGACGCTGTTGAACATGGAACGCAATTACTCTAAGACCGAGAAGGAATGCCTGGCCGTCGTCTGGGCCATCACGAATTTCCACCCTTACTTGTACTGGAGTCTTTTCCCGGTGGTGACCGACCACCACGGGCTGTGTTGGTTGGTGAGCCTGAAGGACCTATCGAGATGCCTCGCTCGGTGGAGCCTAGGACTACAAGATCACGACGTGACAGGGGTCTGCAAGTCGGACCGAAAACACAGCGATGCTGACTGCCTGTCCAGCGCACCTGTCGAGTCAGCTACCGGCTGTGCCAAAAACGACGATGACCAATTTCTTGGCGCAGTGAGCGTTCGCGCTATGGCAGCACTTCAGCGGGACGATCCTGAGCTGCGCCCATTGATCGACCACTTAGAGGGACGAGGAGGTACGATTACCCGAGCCTTCTAACGTGCCCTGCCAAGATTCGCCGTCCGGAGAGGTATTCTCTACAAGGAAAACTTCGGAGACAGCAACTCGACGTGGCCCTTAGTGATTCCTACTAGACTTCTTAAAGAGGTCTTCCAAGCCTGCCACGACGACCCTACATGTGGTCACCTTGGCTACAGCAGGGGTCTTGCATGAATCCGAGAAAAATACTACTGGCCCAAGCTCCCGAAGACTGTGCACCTCTACGTGCGTTTGTGCCGCGAATGCCAACGATCCAAGAAACTGCTGACGAAGCCGGCAGGTCTCCTGCAACCGATCGCGCCCCCGACGTCACCGTTCCAGCAGATTGCAATTTATCTTCTTGGACCTTTTTCACCGTCGACGCAGGGAAACCATTGGATAATCGTGGCAACTGATTATATTACCAGGCACGCCGAGACAAATCCACTCCCGTCG